GGAGCTTTCCTTTACCCAAATCCACCTTTTGTTATATTTTTTAAATTGCCAGCAGCACTTTCTTATTACCTAAATGCTTTTTCTTTTTATATCATCCTAGTCCAGATGTGGTAGCCATGAGCATGAGTAAACAAACTAATTATAGATGTTTAAGAGTTTTCCTCTGCCCCTTGAATGTGAGTCCCTCTGCTCTGACTCTTGTGTTGGACACTATCCATCAGTGTCTTCTGAGCTTGCCTGTGTGTTCTTGTTTGGTGACTGGAAGCTCTATGCAGAGACTGTACCTACCAACAGGTGGGTTTTACTCTGGGTTGAGAAGGTGGCAATGTTGCTTTCTCTTGGGCGGTTCCCAAATGTTACTGCTTGTAGGTCTTCTCCTTGGGCTACTCAGTGTCAGTATTCCACTTGGGAACTATAGGCCTGACTGCTGATATTGTATGAGTTGAGAATTCCATTTCCCTGGGATGAGCCAGCTTTCTGGACACATACCCACTTTTCCTGCCTGGAAACTGACACCTCCTTCCATATACATGGTGATAATTGATCAGTGCAGGATTTTAGAGTTCAGCCCACCTGGGTGTCTCTGCTACCCCATAATCCGAACAATAACCTTGCTGATTGCTGTTAGACACCACTTTCGCTAGTATCTCCTGCCTCCAGGCATAGGGCACTGCTACTGCTGCCTTTTAGAGGAATGCTCAACAAGTTACTTCATGCTCTGGTTTCCTTTGGTAAGCTGTCTGTTTTTTTGAGGTAACCTAGATTCAGGATCCACTGAGGTTTGCTTTCTTTCTTATTTTCAGAATGGAGGTGGACTTTTCAAAAATGATTTTCCCCTATTTCTAGAGATTTGTCATAGGAGGTGAGAGCTGGACCCTCACTCTTTATTGTGTTTCTTTCTATTCTGTTAATATTCCCTTTTGTATTCAGTTTGCATCTTGTAACTGTAACCAAATGCTTTAACATTTTTAATTGAAATTCCTTCTAGATTAATTGTCTATTTTCATATCAATGTATCAATATATTCAGACACTACAGTTTATTGATACCGATTTATGTTTGTCATATTTGCTGTAAATATTTCTTGGAGTAATTCCCTTTTTACTTTAGTTATCTTATTCTTCATGGTAATGAAATTTCACATCATGACATAATCAATGTTGTCAATATTTTCCTTTGTTGAAATATATTTTGCAAATGTCTGATAAGTTCGATTTTTTTTTTAGTTTTTTTGTAGCATAGATTTTACTGAATATTTACTCATAATTTATTGAGATGGTTGCCCAGGCTGGTCTCGAATTCCTGGCCTCAAGTGATCCTCCCACCTCAGCTGCCTAAAGTGCTAGGATTGTAGACCTGAGTCGCTTTGCCGGCTAGATTTTAAATATCTGTCTTACTTATCTTAAAATTATTTAGTAATTGTCTTGTGAAGTATGAATCTGTTCCCTCTCAGATTTCCAAATTGTTAGCTATCTCAATATTGTTTATTAAGTAATTAGAAAAATCTTATTGGTTTTTCCCCCATTATCACATATTCAATTCCTTTGTAAAATGTGGTACACTTTTGTGCTTTCTACTCTGTTTTTGTTTTTCCTTTTATGCTCATATTGATTATAAATTAATCATTTCTATTTTAATAATATATGGGCTGATCTTACTTCATTTTTATTCTTAATTCATAGGCTGGTCTGATTTCTTTTTTATGTTTAAAAATTATTGTTTAGTAGTTTTCTATTCATATAGTACACAAATATTCTGAGCTAGGTTATAAAAATTAAAGGATGAATAGGACTCATCCTTTGTTTTCAAGGAGTACATAATCTTAAAGAGTATGAGCAATTATTATTCAGGAATTCAAAGAAGACTTTTGAAAGCTTAAGTTGGAAGGAAGGAATAAGCCTAATAAAGGAAATCTTAAGTTGGGTCTTGATTTATAGACACAGTGTCACCAGGGCAGTGACTAGATCAGCAAAAATGAATCTATATATGCAATAAGAGTTGTGGACAGGTACACACACAGGGATGGCTGAGGCATAGGGTGAGGACATGAGGAGTAGCTGAGTATGAGGCTGGAGAGACAAACTGGAGCACCCCTCTTTTCTTATTCCAGCTGAATTTTGCGATAATGTAATAAAATTCAATACCAGCCCCATTAAACTCTTGATCAGGATATTATTAAACATATTCAGTGTACCATAACAATTATTGAATTGAATTGAATTCTTAAATAATAATGTCATTTGTCACAGAATGGGAGAGGTAAAAATAATAACAGTGTCAATAAAATTAGGACTGTAGTAAATTCAAGCTGTGTGTTCATTTTCAAAGTGAAAACTCAGAGAGGGAAAGCTCCTCCCTTCAAGACTAATCAGTTGGCTTTAAGACAGGAAACAGAAAATCAATCATCCTGACTTTATTGAAGCAGCATGTAATTCTCCACTAGTATGTAGTCCACTACAGAGACGGGGATCAGTTCCATCAGCCAGCAGGGCCCTGTGAAATGGGAGCCGTTCTGTACAGGAATAAGGAGGGAATGGAAGCAAGCAAGGAAAGCAATAGAGGTATCCTAACTGCTCTAGAAGGTTGATGGTGAAATGACAGAACGAGAATGTAGCACTGGGAACAGTGTGAGCATATTAAGAAGAGTGTTTTTAAGTTCTAACCTGCTTTTGTAATCATTTCACAGTGTATGTGTATATCAAAACACCACATTGCACACCTTAAATATACACGATTTTTATTTGTAAAATATACCTTAGTAAAGTTGAAGGGGAAAGTTCTAACCATATGTAGAAGACAGAGGAAATAATTCAGTCGAGATGGAGAGATTGAATTTTTTTTTAAAGAGGAGAGACCCACTTTGGAACATGAGTTCTTCAGGATATGTTAAACAGCTTGTCTCAAGATACAGAGGGGAAGATGGAGCACTTCTTAGAATGGCAGTAAGGATGTCATTAGAAGATATAAAGAAAAAGGTGGTGACGGATGGATGCAGAAAGCCAGACAGCTTACACTGATGCTTTGATCTTCTAAATAAGTATGTCCCACCTGTGTCAGATTACCCAGGAGTACTGGGCAAAAATTCAGCCCCTGGATCACTCTCATCAGAACCCAGGAAGCTGTGATATTAGTGAACTCTCTGGGATATTCTAACTAAAGTGTGAGAACCAAGGGCTCAAAAGGAGTAGGAGGTTATCTGCATGGTGTGTCTATATGATTGGGAAAGCACTGGTATTTCAGGAAGAGAGTGGAAGACATTAGTGGGCAATGGAAGGGAGAAAAGAATTGCTGAGCAGAGCCCATCTGGAAGTTGGGAAGCAGGAATTTGTATTCCTGGGAGAGAGGCTGGCCCAGCTCCAGATATGTGCTTCCATGGCTCCTTCTAAGTTAAAGTGAATCTAACTAAAGATCCTGTTATTACTTCTGTATCAGGGCCCAGGGAAAATTGATAAAGCAGGCTACTGGATCAAGAAAGCAGGCTACTGGATCAAGGATATGAAGACAACTTGAGAGATTTCCCTTCCTTCTGGCCTTGAGAACCATACCTTTCTGAGCAGGCAGAGTAAATAACATTGATTTCTACATACAATCCTGTGGATTTGTGTATTCAGAACTTTAATTTCACCTAATTATGATGAGCCTGCCAACATGTCAGGCCAGACTTTCCTCTGCTAGTTGTGGCTCAGTTCATTCTTTGATGTTGCTGCTCCACCTGCACATAACCCAAGATGGGCAGCTCCCGTGGTCAAAGGAATTAAAAGTTGCAAGGCCCTAGTCTAGTTTGTTGCTTTTCTCTCCCTCTACCCTTCGCACTCCCTCTCTTTCTCTCTCTCTCTTTCTTTCTTTCTTTTTTTTTAACTTGAGTATATTAGCAACCTCTTACCTGGTCTCCAGGCTACCAGCCACTTCCTTCCAAGGTAATCTTCTAGTCTATTAGAGTACCTTTTTTTTACACAGACTGACAGTTGTCATAAGTGCTGTAAGCAGTAACTGCTGTGAAGATTTCCCATCACCACATGTGACGTTCAAGCAAACAAAACAGACATAAGAGGTTTTTCGAAGAGTGCATTGTCTTCAGCCACTGCCCCTGCCATTAGCACCTCCCACATTCTAGGGACAGGGAATCCTTGTCATTGCCTCAGTATATTGTGCACTCCTGCCTATAACCAAAGTGTCTCTTCGAGTTCAGTTGCTGTTCTATCTATTGCTTCCTTATAAGAAGTGTATTTAAATGTTATTCCGGCTCTGTAGCTTTCTTGGGCCACACTCCCTCTTTTAAGTCAGAGTTATTTTTTTCATCTGTATTCCATAATACTTTATACAAATATGAACATTGTATTTAGAACATTATATTGTACTTATTTGTATCTTTGTTTCTACAACTGCATTAGAATGTCATGTAATCCAGACTGAAAGAACATAGGAAAGTAGAGTTCTCTGGAGCAAGCAATATGGGCAACTCCCTGCATTATTTTGTAATAGTAACAAGCTTTTCTTTTTCCATGTAATACTATAGTTATAGCATTGATGAATCTGAATATTTATAGAATCATAGAATTTCAGTGGGAAGAGGCATCTTAGAAGTGATTCCTTTGATATGCAGATGAAGAAACCACTCCTGTGCTTACGTTAGACCGCCTAAGTACCTTTCATCAAAATTCCAGCCAACAACCTTTAGGAATTTATGAGAATTAAACCATTTTACATTTCAGGCAGAAACATTCTGGAAGAGAACAAATGTGTAATGCATTTGAGTTCAGAGGGAGCCCCATTAACGAATGTTAACTGTGTTTAAGAAGTTGGGGTCAGGGGAAAAGCCAGGCTATTTGATGAGAGATAATTGATAAGTTCAAGGAGGATTTTAAATACGAATAAAGTGTTTTTTATGTGTTTCATTGAGATGATTTGAGGTATCACGGTCACCAGAAGACAGCAGAGTGGGTTTTAGTGAGTTTCTTTTTCTCTAGGTTTAATTGAACCATTTTTTTTTTCTTTAATAGGTTTCAGAACCTTCTGTGGTCCAGAAAGACATTTGTGGACAACATGAAAATCTATAACCACAGTTACATCTACATGCCTGCCTTTTCTATGAAGACAGGAACAGAGCCATCTTTGCGGGTTTATTATACACTGTCAGATGTTGGTGCCAATCAAACAGTGCTGTTTGCCAACCCCAACTTTCTGCGTAGCATTGGAAAGTTCTGGAAAAGTAGAGGAATCCATGCCAAGCGCCTGTCCACAGGACTTTTTCTGGTGAGCGCAGCTCTGGGTCTCTGTGAAGAGGTGGCCATCTATGGCTTCTGGCCCTTCTCTGTGAATATGCATGAGCAGCCCATCAGCCACCACTACTATGATAACGTCTTACCCTTTTCTGGCTTCCATGCCATGCCCGAGGAATTTCTCCAACTCTGGTATCTTCATAAAATCGGCGCACTGAGAATGCAGTTGGACCCATGTGAAGATACCTCACTCCAGCCCACTTCCTAGGGACAATGGAAGAAGAAAGGACTGAACCAGGGTATTTTTGTTAGGTTTTCTACATGACTCCAAGAGGGAATGGTTAAGTTGTTTCATGGGTTTGCATGGGCCCTTGGAAAAACAGGAAAGGAACGATGATGATCCAAGCAAAACTTTACTTTCAGTGTTGGCTTGGAGGACAAATAAGAAATGAAACATCCTGTGAAATACTTTATAGCACATGGCAGATTTGCAACTAGTAAAATGCTGGTGAAATGCTGTTGGTAAAGCACATGGTTCAAATCTAGAAGATGCAGTTCAAAAACAAGACAGACTTGAGTTGTTAGGGCTGAGGAACCAATCAATATAGAATAAAGAAAATGTTGGGGTAAAAGTGTTGCTGATTGTCAACACAAACTGGCTTAATAATATTAATAAGAACCTGTCTTATTAAGACTGGCTTTAGAACTGTAGGTTTTTAAAAAAATTATTATTTATTTTTGCCCTCTTTAGGGGAAGTGGGTGGGTAGATTTAAAAAATCCCTTCCTGAGTAATAAAGATACAAAATGTTACTGCTGATAATTGTGATTTGTTGAGCCACGTCTATATTAACTATAGCTCCCCTCTATTTTTAAAATTTTACATAAGAATTGCTTCTTCCTCTTTTGTCAACTCTACAGAGACAATGTGAAGCATTATTGAATTTAGACTGTGTTGATTCATAGTCTGGATAACAGGAGCCACTTTCCTTCCTCAGAATTTAGGACATAAACCCAATTTTAGGTCTGCATTATGTAAGCCTGTTTGCATTGTCATTTTTATTTTAGTGCAAAAGACTACCAATGAGTGCATTATTTATTTGTAAATTGGCATAATTGTCTTCATAATTCAATATTCAGAAATACAGTAAAGCACAATGATGGAAAGCTTAGTCTCTGTGGAAGACAGACCAGAAGACAAATCCCTTTTCTATCTACTGTGGCATATTCACTGCAAGATAAAGGACATGTGTGCATACATGCAAGAATGCATATATACAAACATGTAGACACACACATACATACACACAAAGTTAAAGCTCATTTCTGTGCAACTATGAAAGCTGAACTCATATGACTCGGTATGGCAAAAATTTGTAACCAGTGTTGGAGAATCACAAATGTGTTATGCACTATTACATGTTGATATAAGACAACCAAGCTCACTGGTTACTGCACATAATACCCACAGCAGCACGAGATGCAAGTCTTACCCCCAAATGCTTACCCGGAATGAGCAGAATTATCTTACTCATCCTGATTTTACCCAAAATCTCATGAATGGGCTTGGTGTTGAGCATGGTCACACAAGGTATAGTTTGTACAAGTAAAAAGATGTGAATTAGTAGCTATTTATTTCCTTAGTAGCAGGTAGGACTACTTAGCTTTTTACACGAGCTTTGATACACAGCAAGAAAACTCTACTGACAGATTACAAGCATCCAAAAGTGTTTACATTTCAGAGAAGGGTAAAGGAAACCTCTCGTTGTCTTCATACTTTGGAATGTCTTAAGCTAAAATGAGACACTGGAACTCAATCTCTTTATTATTTTAAATGTCACCAAATTTTAGGTAAATTGTACCAAAAAGTTCTAGTTTAATTTTAACAGTAAAAACTTGGCATACCATGTTACTATGTAAACAATAATGGCTGGTATTTTTTGATGGGTTAATTTAACATGACATCAATATAAGAAAGCCCTTGGCAAAATTCTACATCATTGAAGTAGACCATTTCTAAATGCAATTAAATATTGAAGTTATTATAAAAATTAGCATTTAAAATATGACTTATTGATAGTGCAGATTATATTGTTACTTAGAAAGTTAAGAATTTGAGAGTATTGATTCTATTGGAGAACTGGTTTGCTATACAGCAACAAAAACGTGAGAATGTACCATGAGGAAACTGTGTTAAATATTCACTTTGAGTGAAACTTTGAATATGTTCCCTCTTTTGAGCTATTATTATTTAGTAGTTACCTAAAAAAGAACACATTTTCACTAGTATACCATTAAAAATGTAAAAGCCTTAACAAAAACACATATAAAAGTTAATAAAGTATGTGTTACTCAGATTAGTACTTTAATTGTTAAAATGTAATTAATGAGCTCCATAAAGCCCATACATCACAGTTCCACTGAAAATATTATCTGGACTAGAATATCTTAAACTCGGGAAGTGGAGGTTGCAGTGAGCCAAGATCATGCCACTGCACTCCAGCCTGGGTGACAGGGCAAGATCTCATCTCAAAAAAAAAAAAAAAAAAAAAAAAAGGAGAAGGAAGGAAGGAAGGAAGGAAGAGAAAAAATATTATGCGAAAATTTTTCATCTTGTTATGATGCCTGGAATAGATTTATGCAGTAGATTTATATAAATTTTTTAGTTTACAAACTTGTGAAACTATTTCATGTGGGTTCTGAAGGGCAAAACAGAAATGGCCAGTGCTGGTGATGTTTGATTAGACCAGTTCTTCTCAGCTGGGATGATTCCTTATCCCTCTCTGGTGACATTTGGCAATGTCTGGAGACCAGAGACATTTTTTGTTTTCATGACTCGAGGGTGCTGATAGCATGTAATTAGTAGAAGTTAAGGATTCTGCTAAAGATCTTACAATGCACAAGTCAGCCTCTCACAACAAAATAATTATCCAGGCTGAGATGTCAGTAGTACCAAGGTTGAGACACCCTGGATTAGACCAAAATGAAATTTTGGTTGTTCCACTTTGTCTTCACTTAAAGATAGACATACACCCTCACAGCATTCAAACTATGACTACAATTTAATGGAAATATTTTCTTACTGTAGATTACAACTCACTAGATATGCCATACATATGCCTTTTGGCCATAATAGGTTAGATAGAAGTGTGTGTGTGTGTGTGTATGTGTGTGTCTGCTTGTGTCATGAAGTTAGGCATCTCTATCCTTACTGTGTTATGTGTTCCTAAGTAAGGACCTTGCTAGAATCATCCTGTAGCGTGCTCTGGAATACTCTATTATTATTAAGATCTTCAATTCTAAGCTCCCACTATCTTTCTTTGTTTATCTGAAATTAAGACCTTCAGAATTGGGCCTGGTACTTTTCCAGATTTGATCAATTACATTTTGAAATCACTGACCCTTAAAATTCAGCTCAGAAGACACTCAATAAGAAAATCTTTAATCACTTTTGATGATGCACCTGCCAAGAAGGAGCATCTCTTTGTACCATCAGACTAATTTAAAAAATTGTTGTGTGGTCATAAAAATTTGGCTGCTCCATGGGGGCAAAAGGAAGGGTGAAGAGGCTAAAAACTAGTATCCTGATAGGATTTTAGTTTTTGTTAGCCTTGATTTGAGAATTGCATTGATTCCAAAGATCATGACTAAGGATGGCCTCTTTAATTTTAATCACACTTCAGTAAAATTAAGATAGGTGAAAGATTAAGTCATTCCATAATTAAGAAAAGTAATGTTTATATGAAAGATTTTTATATGGACAATGACTCACAGACACATACGCTTTGTATAGAGTATTTTGCCAAAAGTTTATACAAAATTGTGCATCTAAACCGCATAATTCTCATGTAAGAAGTTAAGGAAGTGCTCACTGGATTTTGCTTCTGTACAATTCACTTTTATCTGTCTTCACAAGGGTAGGAAGTAAATGATCCCAAATGGCACATGTTCAGACAATACTGTGTTTGGCTTTGTGATGTCTCATGTCTTTCTCTTGGCTAAAAAAAATTGCTTAGGCTATATATAACTTGTACCTGAAGCAATCTGGATAACATGGCTTGAAATGGAAAATAACTGAAAAAATCCTGGGATTTTAAATTTGCCAAAAATATCCTTGGATTAGTCAAGGGCTTTACAAGAGTGTTATAGATGATTCAAAATGGAAACAATATTGATACCATTTCTTTTCGTCAGCAGTTATATATTCCAGTTTTATAACTTTATTATATACAGTTTTTGATTTCTTTATTAATAGAAAGTCAGCCATCCAGAGTTTTAATTTCTTTGTTTGAAATATCGACTTTGAAATTTTTTCACTGACAAATCCTTGTCGGGAGGGACCTAAGGGGGAGGGGAATGTTACCAGTCCGCTGAAAACTTTAGGAAATGTTCAGTGCGTTGTGTAAATACTTTCCCACCAGCACCAGGTAATATATGCTCTATATTTGTAGAATTCCAAAGATCAAGAGCTGTTAAGGATGTTTATATGAACTTGAGGACAAGCTTGTGGAGGAATAAGGACTGAGACTAATATTATGCTTTTTCTTTCTTTATCTTCCCATCATATAGGTCGACTCTCAGGTTATATGAATTTTGTTGGGCACACATCAGGGCTGGAAGTGGTAGAAGTGGGTTAACAATTTCAAGGTACTTGCAACCTAGGTCAAAGCCTCTAATAAAGTCAGCAGTACATATAACTAGCAACTTCATTCCACTATGTGCTAGGAGGAGGGTGAGGCAAGTTGAAAGGAGGAGATGACCCTCGCCCCATGCTCTCAGGATGTAAAAGGGCAGAGTGGTCTCTACCCTTAACCTTGGCTTTTTAGCATAATCAGTCTCTGTCCTTTCCCAGGAGAGCTGCCTTGGCTCCAAAGTTGAGCTAGTAGCATTGTGACTAGAGAGGTAGTGTGGAAATTCGCTGAGGACCTCAAAATTTTACACTGCCTTAAACTGTTTTGTTTTTGCTTAAACTCGTGCTGTCTAAATTTGGGTGTCTTGTGGCAGAGTCTGATCACCCCGACCTAGTTATAGCCTTGCCAGGCCTGCCAGCAATTCTAAAGTGGAGCTTTTCCCCCTCATTCATATGGATAGTCTGGGTCCTTGAAGCTAGGGAGATATCAAATATTCCACTAGTTTCTACATAGCTTCTTTAAAAGTCCTAGAGACTAACTCACAGGAAGTCTGAAGCCCAGAGCATCTGTTTATAAACTCCTAAATATGAGGCCACAATATTTAGATTGAGCACTACAAAATTTCTATTTTGCAAGTGGAAGGAGACTTGAATCTATAATTGTTGTAGGTTTTTTTCCTTCTATCATAAGAAAATGGATACCATCTGCTTTACCCTCAGCCCAGACTTGTCTTTTGAATTTTTTACATACATCTTAGGGGTGAGAGATTGAAGCAAGAGCATGAATGAAAAGCTTATTCAAGCATAACACAGCCTCTGCTCACCATTTCAATAAGGGAAAATACATGTTTCTGTTTCCCTCTAATTTGCTTTCTCTGGTGCCAACATTTCTGATTCCTTCTGTCTCTAAAATGTAAGGAATAACTACCATATTATAAATTGACTTACCTTATTATAAATTGACATACCTGTGAGCATTTGCCAGACAGTCAAAGCCCATGACTATAACTTTTTAAAGCACAGAAGAGGAATTATATTTTATGGTCACTCTTCTGTGTTTCTATTGATCTCTATATTGTGCTAAAATTCTTTCACATAATTTTTTTCTTGTTGAAGCTGTGGGATATAAGCAATGATGCCAAGCTGTCTGAGAATTTTATAGAATAATATCCAAATATATTGGTCCTGCCTCTTTCTGCTTCTATGTAATTAAACTTTCTCTTAATGTTTATTTTTAAAATATATGCTTCGCACAATACCGATAAACATCTAAGAGATGTGATTTAATCCAAGGCAGAGAAAACTAAGAATCAGTTAATGTCTATTTTATCTGCAGAGTAAGAAAAACAGAAAATTGTAATAAAAAAAGGTTTAACCAAACTGAAAAAAAAAGAGAGAGAAGATCTTGTTTTAATTTGAAAGGATGATTGAGAGTGATCTCAGAAGAGAGTTCAGCAGGAAGCAAGAAAGAGGCTGTTGACCTTGAGGGGAGCCTCAAGAATGGAACTTTTTTGAAATATTTTAAAGGGAATATCTTGTCATCCAGCTGTTATGGTTAATAATGGATAGTTTTCTCTCTCTGGGTGAGGCTTATCCATTGCACACCTGATGTGCTGACCCCTGCGATTTCCCCAAATGTGGGAAAGTTGCCCGCGTAATTTGTGGTCATGGGGGACTGTGTGTTCCTGCTTTTCCCTGGTTACAAAAAACAAAAAACGAGAGAGAGAGAGAGAGAGAGAGAGAGAGAGAGAGAGAGAGAGAGAGAGAAGATGCTAGAGGAAGCAGTGTGACAGCCAGATTGTGAGATGCTGACGGAGAGAACAGAGTGGTACCTGCTTATCCACTCGGACCATGACAGTCTCAAGGCTCCACCCTTTGCTGTCCATTTCCGAGAGGTGCTCTCCGGGGAGTTTGATCTCAGTGAAACAACACTCCTGTTTTCTTTTTCTTTTTTTGTTGAGACGGAGTTTTTTGCTCTTGTTGCCCAGGCTGGAGTGCAATGGCGTGATCTCGGCTCACCGCAACCTTCGCCTCCCAGGTTCAAGCGATTCTCCTGCCTCAGCCTCTGGAGTAGTTGGGACTACAGGCATGCGCCACCTCGCCCGGATAATTTCGTATTTGTAGCAGAGACGGAGTTTCTCCATGTTGGTCAGGCTGGTCTCAAACTCCTGACCTCAGGTGATCCGCCCGCCTCAGCCTCCCAAAGTGCCGGGATTACAGGCGTGAGCCACCGCGCCCGGCCCCACGCTCCTGTTTTCATAGCCTTTTTTTGTCTGTACTTTGGCACATATTCCCCAAATAAGATTATTATTTAGATCTCCTGTCATGTTGAGGCAGTGATAGCAGGAAGTGTCACGTTGACCCTCACCCTTGGAAAGTGGGCTATGCATAGCTAGAGTTAGAACAGGAGGTTCTAACTTTGCCTCCACAATTACTTCAGTAACAGGCTTTTGTATCCAAGATTACTTGAGCTGACTTAGATGCATTTTCTAGTGTATACAACACACACACATAAGCCCTTTACCCGTGGAGAAGAGGGAGATGGCTGATTCAGTGGGAGTGGGAAGTGGCAGAGGGTGCCTTAACTTTTTCTGGCTTGACCCCTACTTCCTTATGTGTTTCCTTCGTGTACCTCTGTCACTTTAGAGATGTAACCGTGTCTGTTCCAAGTTGTATCATTATTATCAAGAAGTCCTATAAATGTAGCAAATGTGACTATTTTATAGAAATGAACAATAGTATATAGGCCTTGGAGAAGTCTGATAATAGTATGTAAATATCCTTTATTGAAGTTGTAGAACCTTCTAGAAGGAAGCTCTTTAGGTGATAACTGCAAGAGGATTAATGTTTGTTTCTCCAGCAAACACCAGAAGCAAGGAATCAAACTCACTGCTTTTCATTCAGTCTTAAGCACCGCTGGGCTCTCTTGTTGATAGGTTCCTATAGACACTCCCCTTATAACTAATATACAGGATTCACAATTTAGGATGACTGATGGCCACTAGGGTACATCTTAGAGACACCAGAGAGAAGAGAACAAATACAGTTCCATCAAAAAGCCTGCTTAATCTTTAACAAGTCTGAAATATTACTAGAATTCCAGTTACCATGCAGCATAGTTGGTCTAAAAGCACTCGGGAAGAAAGGTGTCGTTTTGGTCTCTTTAACTCTATTATGGCACATTTTAATATTATTCCACATGTGTGCAAACTGTTTCTCAAGAGCAAAGTTTGAGCCTGGAGATAAGAAAAATTTAAACATCATTTTTTCTCATGTAATATAATATGACTACTAATTCACGGATATAATAATTCTGGGAAAAAATTTAGATTAGACTATAAAATTGAAATCACCTTTGAAGAGTATATAGAATTGCTTCTTTCTATTAAAGCCAACCTCCATTGGCAGAAAGTGTGGAGAAAATCAGTGTGCTTCAATTCTTTTTGTAGAGTTTCATATAAAATGTTGCAGGTAGAAAAGAAAACTTTAATTGGTACTTTCTACAGTGTGACTAGAAAAATTAGTATCTATCTCTGTTGGTTCTGCTGACTTGCTTCTTTCCACCGAATCTAAATGCAATGTCATAGGAGGAGGTTTGCTGTAAAAACATGTCTTTTTCTTTGGTGTGTTCATTGTAATTATGGCTGGCAGTGAGAAGGTTCAGTAAGTCTCAATTTCTCTACCTCCCTTACTTGGAGAAAATTTGTAAATGTACCCTGTGAATAAAATGATTTTTTTATAGCTTGTGAAGTCTTTTTATTTTCCAGAATTAAATGGGTGATGCTCTTTCATTTACTATTCCTGCTTTATTTTGTATCCATATCAGCTACACTGATATTTTTTCTTACAGATTAAAAGTCATGAGACTTAGTGAGGAAATCATTTTAGAAACACTGGATTATAATTGCTAGAATATAAGAACACTATTGGTACTTCTTATGTGGATGAAAGGACTATCTATAGGGCAAACTAGAAAGAAAACTGAGCATTTATTTAATATGATTAATGTAGATGAGGCTAGTTTTTCCAGTGATAAAACTTCTCCTTTTTGTCAATATCAATATGTGTGTCCAAGAGATACTTTAATACTTTCCTAACATGATGCAATACATTTGGATTCCCCTTCTCCACATATGGGTGACTTTCAAAGCCCAAGTGTGCCTTTTTGTCTGAATTATTTAGATAATTGCTTCAAACTCCCATTTCCCTTGGGCGCTGTTGGCCCAGTTCTGCCAGACTCTTCCTCAAAGGGAGTGACATCAGGAAATGTGACCTTGATCCATCCTTTATTATACATTTCTCCTCAGAAATTGATCAAGGTACTCTGTACAGATCTCCTTATTAATTCTCTGACTTCATTCTCACACGACACAGCTTTTTGGGCTACAGCTATTTCAAGAAAGGACATTCTATTACCTAATGGAAAATCTACATGGTGTTTAGCTGAATCACTTGGAAACAAATGCAAAGCTCCAGTATAAATGTGGGTTACCCTAACCTATCCTCAGACCATATGAGGAAAACAGACTCAACTTGTTTTCACCAACTATCATTAAGTCCCCAAATCTAGATTTGACTGAGTCCTGCTCTTCTACTTTGTTTCGATTTGAGCATTCCAAAACAGATATTAAGACTCCAAAGGCATTAATTACTCAAGAATTCCCCCTAAACCTAAAAGGAGGATAATTATAAATCATAGACTATATTTTTGCTTGAAAACTTATTATTTGGGATATACAGTTAGATTCCTGACGATATGAACAATTATAGATGTGGAAGGATTGACTTCATTTATAATTTATATTATTCCATTTTATGAGCATTTAGAAGTATAAGAAAACAAGTTCTTTGTTTATTTTATATAGATAGAGTAAAAGTTATTTCTTTCCTTCTCAATAGTCATGAATTCTGGGCAGGAATTAAAAAGTCACCCTCAATACTTGGGAACGTTTTCATGGTAAACAGTGCAATCAAATGTTAGGTTAAAAGGCAATCAAGAATTTGTGGGTCTCAAGATAGATGTCAATCAAGGAGATTCCAACCTTTGCATATGGGGGCAAGGGAGACAGCAGGAATAAGGTACAAGTGTTCATTGGGTGGGAGCACTGTAATCGATTTCCTACCAGGCAGATTACTGATCTCTAGAAAGAGAATGCTTCTCTACCAAGGGTTTAACATTAGCCTTTGCTATTGTTCGTTGGGCACTTGGCAGTGGTGGAAGCCAGATTATCATTAGTCTTTGATGTTGATTCCATGCATAACCTCCATACCTGTTACCAAAACCGCTTTATATAGAAGTCCATTGAGAAAGTAGTGGAGTAATTGAGAAAAGAGACCAGCTGATAGCCATTCAACACACTATTTAGTCTGGGCATCTTATAAAGGTTATGACTACAGTAGTGAGGTTAATTTCTGCAGTGGTTTTCAATGCGTTCTATCCTGGAGCACATAACAATTTATTCTAACTGAACTAGACATGTATTCCAGATTTGCCTTTCCGGTCCTCAGTGCTTCTGCCAGCATAGCTATCTGTGAACTTACAGAGTGATTCATTTACCATATCGACATCATGTACAACATATAATATCCTTCTGACCAAGGAACACACATTTTATGGCTAAAGAAATGTACCAAGGAACTAATTCCCATGGAACTAGCTTCTATTAGTATTATTCTTTACCGTATCATATAGAACATACATTATCAACAGGAGAGATACTGCCCCCTAAAAAGGCAAAAATTGGTTTTAGGGAGTGTGATCTGAGAGACCAAGTTAGGTGCCTTTTTATCAATCAGGACAGACCCAAAGATTAAGGAAACAAAGTTAACCTATGGGAGGAGGATTCAGGCTCTGACTGGCATGACACATTTCTAAATTCTTACAAGAATAACCACACTCTCACCACTCACCAACCTCCTTAACAATAAGAGCTTTCAGGCAAGTTATCCTAACTCTGATTTACAACCCAGACCACTGCAACTCTGATTGGACAGGGGATCAGCCTTATAAACATTCTCTTCTGATAAGCTACTGCAGACCTTAAACCAGTTTCAGCAGCTTATAAAGGCTACACACAAACTCTTTGCATCCTATACTTCACCTTTTGATGTAAAGAGCCAAATTCCACCTCATTTTAATGCTAAAACTCAGCCCCAAAGTGAATACGGCTGTATGTTATGTGGATGTTTGCCCATCATGCATGTACTCTGCTCCCTTCATAAATATGTATAGCTTTCCCTTCAAACCCGCTGAATATTTATGACTGTACAAACCTTGCCAGGCATATAACCCAACCTGTCTTTTCCCTCTGCAAAGACAGAGCACCTTTGGTCTATGCTGGAGACTTTCTCTTCCTGGCTTGCAAGCCAATATTGCTAATAAAACTCTCCTTTCTACTGTCTAGCCATCTGGGTATCTTTTGAATGACAGAAGTTAAAAAAAAATTAGATACTATAATGGTTAGGAAAAAATATCTTAAAAGTTTATTTGGGGGATAATTTTTAAAAGTTTGAGGAACACTGATCTAGAAGTGTCTGCCTTACACAAAGTTATCATGGCCTAATAGGGACTCATTTTTAAGGACCATCTGAGAGACAATGTTGGGAGTATGGGGTGCCATCTTATAGGATGTGGTGTATGTTTTGCTCAGTGACTAGTTTCTCTCATTATATGTTTGGGTTGTATTTAGAATATCTGGATCCGGGAACCAAGAGATGGAAGTAGAAGAGGCTCCACAAGTTGTGATACTTTGCGCTTTTACCATTTTTTAAATCAGAATATTATCTAATTATCTCGTGATTTTTCTTTAAATCAATTGTTACTTAGTATATTTTAAATTTCCAAATACATGGAAGATTTTCTGGTATCTTTTCGTTATCTCTTTCTCATTTAATTCTGGCATGACCAGAGACTATATTATGTGTGATTATATTTTCTAAAATTTATTAAGAATTATTTTATGGCACAGGTTCCATGAGTACTTTAAAGGAACATCCATTCTGTAGTTCTTGGCAATAGTGTACTGAAAGTGTTTATTAGGTCAAGTAGGGATGATCCTTGAACAATGTAAAGGTTAGGGGTGTCGACTCCGATGCATTTGAAAATCGACATGTATCTTTTGATTCCCCCAAAACCTAACTACTGATAGCCTACTGTTGACCAGAGACCTTACCAATAACATAAACAGTTGATTAACAAATATTTTGCATATATATAAAAAAAATGCTGTATTCTTACAATAAAGTAAGCTAGAGAATAGGAAATGTTATTAAGAAAATTATAAAAAAGAGAAAGCATATTTACTATTCATTAAGTGGATCATCAAAAAGGTCTTCCTCCTCATCCCCTTAATGTTGGGTAGACTGAGGAGGACAAGGAACAGGAGGGATTGATCTTGCTATTTCAGGCTGGCAAAGATGGAAGAAAATCCTCATATAAGTAGATCTGCGCTGTTCAAACTTATGCTGTTCAAGGGTCAACTGTACACTCTTACTGATATATTTTATCTATTTGCTCCATTAACTATAGAAAAAAAGTAAAGTCTCTAAGTATGATATGCCAATTTCTCCTTTTAGTTCTATACATTTTAGTTTTATTGAATTTACTTTGAAATTTATTATAAGTTTCATTCATTGAGGAGTCTGACTTCCAGATCAAACTCCTATCTGTAATTCTTCCTGTCTGACCACAGACAATTATAAGGCTTTGTCTAGCAGGCCTAATGGAGACAAGCTGCTCTCCTGTATTATTTTGTTTTTGAATTACTATAAAGAAATATCTGAGGTTGGGTCATTTATTAAGAAAAGAAGTTTAATTGGCTCATGGTTCTGCAGGCTGTACAAGCATGGCACCAACATCTGCTTGGCTTCTGGTGAGGGCCTCAGGAAGCTTATAATCATGTCGAAAGGCAAAGCACAAAGCAGGAGCAAGCCCATCACATGGCAAGAGTGGGAGCAGGGTGGGAGGTACCACACACTTTTAAACAACCAGATCTGGTGTGAACTTGGAGTGAGAACTCACTTATTACCAAGGGGACGGTGCTAAATCATTCATGTGGGTTTTGTCCCCATCAAACAAACACCACCCACCAGGCCCCACCTCCAATACTGGGAGTCACATTTCAACATGAGATTTGGAGATGACAAACATCCAAACCATATCACCTCCTCACACCTTGGTGCATAGCCAATTCATCAGTTTTCTAGAGTGAGTTGCAGTCAAGGACTTAGGACTCTTAGGAGAGCCATGCTCATATGCATATCGGCATTCCTAACCCAACACCTTCATGTAGAGGCCTTTTTTCAGGGGACTTTGTTGAGACACCTCTCCACTTTGACTCAGTATCTTTCCGCTGCTAGAAGACCTGCCCTCTCTTCTTCCCCCTGGCCCATAGGTCCATAAAGAGAGAAAGAGCCTTTTGTTTAGGATTCCTTGGCATTGAGACAATTCTCCCATCTACACTGCATTCAGTTAACTCTCGCCCAGTCCCATTCCATGGGGAAAAACTACACCCCAGTAAACTGGTACCTCCTGCTTGCAGGGTCATAGTAAGTAAATAAAGGCTTGATTGTTGCTTTCAGTTGGCTTATTGTCCTGACTGACCAACACTTGATGGCTCGAAATACACGTTGAAGATTGTTATATTTTCTTTATGAATTGGCCCTTTTATTCTTAACTTTTATAACAATATAAGTATTATCATATGAATAAGTATCAAAATAATTACATATATTTTTCTTTT